CGATCGTGGACATGGATAATTCGATTCAAGTTGTACACCGTTGTTTATACCTGCCATTCTTCATTACATCCTCTTGCGCGCCCCGCGCAGATAACCCGGCTAGGCTAGAAAGAGCGCGCGATCATCGGGCCTTCGTGCCCGCACCCGCCTCGTGGAGGTAGCTTCCAAGAAGCTTGGTCTGAGGGCCAAAGTGTTGTCAACCAGAAAAAAAGAATAGAAGGGCAAAATTTGCATACCCCTTCAATAAAGTTCGACGTGTCTAGCTTTTCATTCGTCGAACTATAATAATCACAGCAAGTCAGTAAACCTTGTTGAGAAGAAAAAGGTAGAGACGTACTGCGCGCCATCGTCACCGCGACCCATGGGAAGTAAGAGCACGTTCACACCGAGAGCCTCTGCAAACGTAAGCGTCACGGGAATCGAGCCACCCTCACGCATATAGTCCGGTGCTTGCTTATACACCGCCTAGTTGAGGATAAAAAATGAGTATGAATTGGTATTGGTTCGTAGCGATTAAGATACCTCTGTCGCACGATGTGCAGCTTCGTAGTTCCAATGTTTATAGTCCTCAACCCAGGGCTTTCCTCCGTGCAGATCCTCCACATTGATGCTGTTCTTGCTCCCCAGTTTCGCAAACTCGGCGGACAGGAACTTGACCACGAGCGGGTCAACGTTTTCCGGCGTCTGCGGAGGAACGAGGCGAATGCTGAACTTGCCCGTCACCTTGGCTGGGATGACCGTCTTGCCACCCGCGCCGTAAAATGCGCCTTCGATACCGTGGAGAGAGAGCGAAGGAGATCGCATACGTCCCATCAGTGCGGACGCCTTGTCTTCCGAAATCGTAATCTTGGCACCAGTGGAAATCTCCACATCCTCAAGGCTGTAGTCAATGTTCCTGTAGAGCTGCCTGCAACACGGGACAAGCAGAAGAAGGCGGTGATCGGCGGTAGGATAAGTGAATGCGTGAAAAAAAAGGAGGTAGGGGAAACGTGCCTTTCTTCCTCGTCTGGGGGCGGCACCATCTCATCAATACCGGGAATGAGTATGTTGCCTTGCGGATCAACGAGCTTGCTCATGAGGATGATGAGATCGGTCATGGGCTCGTGCACCATGCGGCCAAAAGCACCTGAGTGGAGATCCCTGGCTGGACCTGAGACGGTGACCCTGTAGTACGAGATGCCGCGGAGTCCATAGGTCAATGCGGGGGTGCGTGTATTGAGCCAATAGTTGTCCGACTGAAGACGTGCGGTGAGAAGCAGCCGGGGAAAAGAAAGGTGGGTGTGCACACAATACAAACTGCGTCAACGCCATCAAACCAGGAGTCCTTTCCTTTCTTGACCTCGGCGAGGATGAATTCATCAAGGCCCTCAGAGCCGGACTCTTCCATTCCTTCGAAACAGAAGCGAAGGTTTACAGGAAGGGGCTTGTTGAGGGTATGGTGTGCGTCGAGTACGTTGATCCAGCCAAAGATGGGACCTTTGTCGTCGGTCGAACCGCGACCGTAGAGACGGCCAGTCTTCTCATCTCTGGTCAGTTCGAAGGGCGGGAAGTCCCATCCATCTGATAATTGTGCCTACAGATATCGGTAGGGAGGATATGAGGTCGAGGAGGGAGACAACAGACTGGTTGCACGTCAAAATGCCCATAAATAAGGATCGTTTTTTTTGCTCTGTCGTCTCCGATCCTCCCCAAGATGGCAGGGGGAAGCTTCAAGGTTTGGCCGTCCATTATGTGGGTACCAAGCTCAACCGCTTTAGTCTCAACACCGTATTGTTTCAACTGGGTCTCCAGGAAAGACGCCATACGAAAGACATCTTCACGATGAGCAGGATCGCCGGATACACTTGTCTTAATCAGTGTCGGGCCCCGCGTATGCTAATAAGTGATCTAGTGGATACCTAGGGATTTCGACAGCGCGAGCAAGGCGTTGGATAAACCTGTCCTTGTTAACGTCAATGAAGTTGAGAAAGTCTGCAGGGGCAGCCATGATATGAAAGAGTTGGTAGAATTGGATGGAGTGCTAACAGACCAGCGACAAGAGAAAGCGCAGCCAGTGCGCAGCCCCACCTTCATCGACCGGACCGGCCCTTTCCAACTGCTTCTCTCCTGCAAACACTTCCCGTCTCGCAGCGCCATTCCAGAACCCTTTCTCGTATCTCTTTCTCTAGGTCCCCGATTTCCCCTTCATGCATATTGTTTCGCTCCTCGCAACGGCGGCACATCGAATCGAACTACGAATTGGATGTCGTTTCGTCTGTCAGGTGCAAGCAGCCCCATGTTCGTTGAACGATGCGATGTGCGGTGGTGCAATAGCGCTCAGCCACACCTTTTAGTCCGACATTGAATATTTCGACTTGGACACCGGGAGGAATACCGGGAGTGTCTTCAAGGAAAATCCGAAGGATGTTGGGATTGACATCCGAGCGAAGGAACGCAGTCACAAGGAAGCCGAAAGTCGAGGAAGAATCCTCGACGATTTGAGGAGTACAATTCTATTCGGTACTCGGACCTACTTTCTCGCACATCTACTCAATGTTCCTTCCTAGCGGAGAAGGTCAACTGTGTAAAACGGATCTCCGCGGTGGTGGGGACATGTTTTATACAGTTGCCTCTACCTTTAGTAAAGGTGCTCACGACTACAGTATCACATAGATTACGTCCCTTATAAAGCATATATCCTGCCTGTATCGTACGCGTTCCTAATAACTACTAATCCTCTTTGAACCTCTATGCGTCATTTCTTTGCCTTGATGAGTCCCATCATAATATCGAAGCTATTCCCATCGGGCTGCAAGTCGATGTACTCGTCGTCTGCACCGTACCGTGCACTACCTCCCCATCCCGTTCGTTCGGGGATCGTGCGCAGTAAGCCGTGGTCATGAGTTATCCCAACAATGCGAACGGGTATGGGCGGATCGACCGTTGTCAGCGTCACGAGTTGGTCGCTATGTTTGGAATTGAACGACGAAGTTCATCGTGGATCCATCAGAGGCGTAGAAAGCAAGCGCGGACGGAGGGAGACACTTACGAATGCATCCACGCATCAAGATAGTCCTCCTCGAAAGGTGCCCAACTACCTCCTCCAGCGACAAACACAGTCCACAGGCGTTCGAATTCAGTCAGGGCGAGCGCCAACACCGTCTCAGCATCGAGACGTTCTCCCGGTCTGGAGAGCAAAGAGAGTGCCGCCACAGGTGCAGGGGTACACACGTTAATGCCGCACCCTTTCCCAGACACCAAAAAAAAAAGAAAAGAAAATTCATTAGCTTTCGAATTGAATACCCGAGCAGGCCATCCAACATGCTCGCGCATCATATGACGGATACAACGCACCGATGATGACGTCCGCGTTCCCGTCCGCGAAGCACGTATTGACCAGGACACCACCGACTTTTTTCTTCTCGCTGCCCGCAACCGCCGAGGACGAAGACAATTCGACATACACGTCATTGGGCCACTTCAGCCGCACGCGCGCACCGCGCTCGGCGCCCAGTACACGCCCATCGCGGCACGCGCGGACAATGGCCAGCGCGACGAGGTACTGCACAAAGACAAGGCGCGGCGCGGGGATCCCTGAAGCGCGCAACGGCACGCGGACGAGGATGGAGAATTGCAGGCATCCCGCTGGCGAGAGCCACGTGTTGGAGCCGCGGCCGCGCCCTGTGAGCTGGAACGTCGCGAGGGAGACGATCGGGACTGGGAGGGATGCCAGGAAGGAGGGGTTTCTACGTTTGTTGTTTCCATAGTTCAGTTTGGGCGAGCGGAGACGGGTGTGGCGGAGCGTACCTTTCTAGCATCGTCTGCGTGCTCGTCACTGCCTCACCATAGAACAGAGCCTCGCCCACCCCCCAGCTGCCGCTACCACTACCGTCCGCTCCGCTCGTTTGTTCCCCGCGGACCTCGGCGAGGACAACAAAGTATTTCTCGGCGTCAAATCTTGGTGTGAGCTCGCCCGTGGGTAGGGCGTCTGGAGGAAGGACAATGATGATCCGCGGTGCGTCCGTCGCCACCGTCGCACGCGACGTGTCCGAGTCCGCGGATGCCCTCGCCTCCGCGACCAGGCGCGCGCCATGCTCGAGAGTCGCGACCTTGTGGATATGAAACGTGTCCACCCTATCCTTGATTACCACCGGCCCTAAATCGCCGGACGACTCGACGGCGGCGGAAAGGCCGAGCCTTTGCAGAATCGTCTCGGAAATATGTCTCTTCCCGGGTGGATGCAGCAGAAACTGGGGGAGGGCGGATCTCGGAATGGCGGGTAGCGGATCGGGAGGCTCGTTGGAGATGGTCTCCGGCGGTACTGATAGTTCGAGGGACGTCAATGCATATCGGAGGAGAGGGAGCACATTTTCAGTGTCCTCGATCCCATCGAGACAGGGCGAGATGCCCCAGAACGCTGCACTTCCGGATCCAACGGGCACCTGGATACCTGCTATGGCACCAACGGGCACCTCCCAACGTCCGCGGATGAATTCAATGTTAGACGCGGCGGGTGTCAGCCCAAATGGAACATTGGCTGGCCGAAGACCCGAAAGAATTGCGCCCGTCTGTAGGAGTATAGATGAGGGCAGTGGAAGGTTCGCGACCCCTTGGGGGCACTCAGGGACTATAGCAGTGCCCGACCTAGCATCCCACAGACCGAAGCGGTCCCGTACCTGGTGGGGTTGGAAGGTCACGCCGAAGCCAACGCCCAAGACGCGACCTCCAGCGGAGATATAATCCTGGATGACTTCAACAGCCGGTCTGGGCAGCGAGAAGGATTCAGGAGGGCCATCAGGCGGCAGAAGAACAAGAAGTGCGCAAGAAGCAGTCCAAGGTTGCGTGGCCAAGGACGCAGGAAGGATGGACTGGACTGTATAGAAAGGTGACAGAACAGCACGTAATGCATTTGACAGCTGGTGAGTTGCGGAAGACGCATATACAAGGACATTCATTACACTGACAGTCGAGATAAAGATCAAACAACAAGAAAAAGTTCCTCACAGGGTGAGAGAATGAAGTACCGTCGACGGGGGTCGAACCCGCAACCCCCACCTGCCACCGCTGTTTATTGTAGGAAGGTGATGCGCTGCCATTGCGCCACGACGGCGTAAAAGATACTCTGCCTTGTAAAGTTATCAAGTTGCATCATGTAACTCGCGGGTACAACACAAACAAAATCTATCTATCGAGAGAGTAACAGAAAAACAGGGTTCCGAATCCGAGTCCGTTCTCATGTCCCACTAATCAGATATATGCGACGGTATGCACGTTTCAGTTTTGATCCTCGATCAGGCTTCTGCTCGCCTTGAGATCAGACTCCACCATTTCCTTGACGAGCGAGTCAAAATCGACGTTGCGCTTCCAGCCGAGTACCCTCTCAGCTTTGGCGGGCCTACCCAGGAGTTGTCTACGAATGGTCACGTTGAGTTCAAAGCAGAGAGGTGGATCGACACTCACTCGACTTCGGCTGGACGGAAGTACCTCGGATCGACTCGAACAACAATTTTTCCGGTTTGAGAATCTTTCCCGACTTCATCGACGCCCTCTCCCGACCATCTATAGGACGACAGCGTTCAGACGAACTGTTTCGTCGCACATTCGAGCAAACCAGCTTACTCTATTTTCACATCGAGAACTTTGAAGGACTTCTCGACAAACTCACGCACGTAGTGCATTTCACCAGTCGCAAGAACAAAGTCATCAGCAGTGTCTTGCTGGAGCATGCGCCACATTCCCTCTACATAGTCACGAGCTGCGCAAAATTAAGTCAACATTGATGCCGCCCACATATATGGACATATTGTGCGGAGATAATCACCGTGACCCCAGTCACGTTGCGCATCGAGGTTGCCAAGGTACAAGCACGCCTGCTTCCCAAGGCTGATGTCCGCGACGGCACGGGTAATTTTGCGCGTGACGAAGGTGCGTCCTCGACGGGGGCTCTCGTGGTTGAAGAGAATCCCGTTGCAAGCGAACATGTTGTAAGCCTCACGATAGTTTTTGGTGATCCAGAATGCATAGAGCTTCGCAACGCCGTAAGGGCTGCGCGGGTAGAAGGGAGTATTCTCGTCTTGCGGGACCGATTGAACCAGTCCGTAAAGCTCTGAAGTCGAGGCCTGGTAGAACCGTACGTGGTTCTGGAGGCCACAGGTGCGTATGGCGTCGAGCAGGCGCAAGGTACCGAGCGCGTCGACATCGCCTGTATACTCGGCCATGTCGAAGGAGACTTTTACGTGGGATTGCGCGCCGAGATTGTAGATTTCGGAAGGCTGGACCTGTGCTATGATGTATACGAGATTCGTACTGTCAGATAGGTCACCGTGATGGAGCTCGAACTTGTTTTTGCCTGTTCCTCCGTAGATCAACATACGACAAAAAAGTACGATATACGATCGAAAAGCGCACGCTCATGCTGATCGAAGAAGAGATGGTTGATACGCGAGGTGTTGAAACTAGAGGACCGACGAATGATGCCGTGTACCTCGTACCCTTTATCGAGCAGTAGCTCCGTCCTGGTGAACAATATATGGTCCAATGATGGAAGTCACACGAGCTAAACCCAGACACAAACAAGTAAGATCCATCCTGGCCAGTGATACCTATGAAAACAAGAGGCATTGGTCTGCCAGCAAACCAAGAAAGAGGGGTTGAACTCACCCGAAATCAGGGCGACCTTGCGTTTGTTCCATTCTTCCGGTGACGGTAGGGAGCGCAGGGCAAAAGGGGTAGCTTTGGCAAGGGTGGACATGGGATACACTTGCACGTGGTGTAGGGAAGAAAAGAATATTGGGGCTAAGTATGCACGGTGGGAGATGGATGGCGGTGGAAAGGGGGCGTGAATTTAAAGAGGTCAGGCCTCAAATGCAGTGTTGAACTAGAATGATAGGTGCCACATTGATGGGTGCCATACTTTCATAACCCCTGGACTAAGAACCAAAAGTAGAATATTATTGTTCGCCCAACCATCCAACCGTTGTTATTCAATCCGCTCAGTAGCAAGCCCCTCTCACTCAGTCATACAAGGTTCCTCCCTCTCAACACGGGCAGGCGTCCCCTCCTTGTGCCCATTCGTTTCACCATTGTGAACCCCATTGCTGCCGTGCTTCCTCCGTCCAATCCTCGCATCGGTGTCATAATGCTCGACTAGCCACTGGACCGTTTCACGCAACGCCACAGCAAACGGTGTGAACTCGAATTTGCCCCCAAGAAGCGACATTAGCTTTTGGTTGGAAGCAGGTTTGCGGAATTGCCCATCCGCGCGGGACGGGTCAAACTAGCAAAGCTTTCTCAGGGACCCAGGATCCACCAGGGAATGAACAGGACTTACGCTGTACTCTCCCTCGAAACCAACAGCAGCAACGACAGCGTCTGCAACCTCCTTGATACTAATCTCCTCATCCTCCCCGCCTGCAGGCAAAGTTCAGGATCACGGCAACACTACCTGAAATTGGATTTATACCGGAGAGTATGACAGGTTCAGCTTCGTTGTACTCCCGCAATTGCCAGACAAATAACTTGGCGATGTCGTAGGAGTAGATAAACTGCCGAAGGGGTCGGCCGGAGCCAAATACAGTAAAAGGGGTGTTATTTCCTATCCGAAGGTGTCAAGTAAGGGTAGGGCCACAAGAATCAAAACTCACGCTTGGCTAATAAACATTTGTGAATTAATGCGGGGATGACATGTGATTCTTCTAGGCCACTGAAAAGCATGGATCATTACCGTCTGTACGTTGGCGAAGGAACAGATACCATACAAGTTGTCATTGGGCCCGAAAACGTTTGTCGGAATGGCGGAAGTAAAGTTGGATCCGTGTTCGTCGCGGTATGCGCTACCACTCATCGTCAAAGATGCCGACTGGTTTCAACGTGCGACATACCGATTCGCAACATCAACCATCCTTTTAGCGTAGGCATATCCGAAGTTGCTCTCGTGTGGCGGTCCAAGATGGATCTTGGACTCGTCCAGAGGGTACGTGACGTTATCTGGGAATATACACGTCGACAGACACGAGATCACTTTGGATACGCCGAACTCGTGTGCGAAATGGAGCACGTTGTCATTAATGAGCATATTGTCGCGGAGGAAGGAGTGCTATGGAATGCAATAAATCAGAGTACGGTGGGTGCCACGCGCATAAGCCTCCTCTACCTTGAACTGCATGTTGTTGTACAGACCACCGACTACAAGTGAGTGTCAGAGAGTGCGTCCATGATAGTCATAGCGATGTTCAACGTACCTAGGGCGGCTAGATGAATGACGTATGTAGGTTTATATTTATTGAAGATTCCTCTGGTCTGCTCCGAATCACTGCGAAAGTAAAGCTAGAGAGGTACGAATGGGGTGCCCGAAGAGGCTGCAACGTGACACGAACCGCAAATCGGCATCCTTTGACCCAAGGAACACCCAGGACTCGTCCTCGCGCCTTCCGAATCTCGAGCCTACCGGCTCTGTCTCGATGATGTGTTGTATCGCAAACCCGACTAAACCGGTACCACCAGTGACGAGGACGACGGATTTTGGGAGCTCGACGGGCATAAGGGAAGAAGGGAGATGACAGTGGAATGGTGAGAGCGTAGAACGGTCAGAGCCATTTACTTTTAACCATCCCTCATCCGTATCATGATCTGCGCCCGCACTTCCAAATCGGGCGGTGCCTTCTCACGTCCGCGGCGGGGGTCCGTGTCTGACACTTGTATGGGTGCCACGTACGCAAACTAGACCAAACCCAGGACATATTCCCTACATCTCTTAATCATTCTTTCATTAATTGTGGCCAGCGAGGACACGGCCCAAGGAAGGGTGGAACGCGATAATTGCCTTCCGGCCAGTCTGACGACTGCACCCGGCAAACACGGACACGGACATCCCCAGACAGCGTGGAACTCCCGCGGCTTCCAACTGATGGGTGTTTTAATATGGCCGGGAAAGAGATCTCGACTTTCGCATGTGGCACCAAGAGGGGAGCGGGCACTGAGCGGCACTAAGCGGCACTCGACTGTGCCAGGTGCCCCCGTTTACGTTTGACCGGGTCAGCTGTCCACAAACCGTGAAAAGGGCTGAGGAGTTTGACAGCGGTTACCATTACTGGAGCAGTCATCAAACCTACTATCTGTCTATCAATGTTATCGGTCCCTGTGGAATTAAAAATACACCCAGTAGTCGAAATCCATCTTTGTCGTGGTAGTTCTGGGATGTACAGTATTTAGCGTGGCAGTCGAGACACAGGATGTTCTGGCAGACTTTCAGGCCAAAGAAGTGGTGGATTACAAAGACAAGCTTGCACAAGTGGGAGTTACGTCTACAAATGGGTTTTGGACACAGATGATAAGTTTAGTGAGTCCTCTTTTTCATCGCTGTCACAGGAAATAGGAGCTGGCACTATGGGAAACGGAGAGATCCTCCGTCTCACAATTAGGGGGAGGGCGTTGGTGGCGTCAAAGCCACATGGAAATCCCCCATCCCGCGTTTGAGGCGATAGAGGCGGTGGCGACATGGACACGGATGGAACCTCGCATTTGATTTGGGGCGAGGGGGGCGGTGGTGTGAAAAGCAGGCCTAGAGTGGCGAAGCTGACCTGACCATAGCGAGAAGGCCACCCATACATAGCACCAGCAGCGACGGCGCCCTTGGACTTTTTTGATGAGGACGAGGAAGATGTTGGAGCATGCTGCTTGTCGTCGGCCCCCATGAGCCCGAGCCCGAGCCCATCGTGTTGGGAGGTAAGCGACACAGTACCCAGTCTGTCAGCAGAAGAACCAGAATTCACCGTGATGGTGAACGAGGGGACATTGTTCCCTTGGAGGCCACGGTTTAGAAAACCAGAGTTGACAACGCTTGATAGTGTTACGGTGTGGTTCTTAGGGTTGAAGGTGAACGAGACGGTGTCATTGATGGAGGCACCAAGTTGCTGGCACAAGTAGGTTAGGCGGCTGCGGCCAGGGGCACCGGCGACGGCGATGATACCCGTATACCCGGTGGTGCTGTATGGCAATCCCAATCCCGTACTGCGCTGATAGGCCTTTCTTCCCCACCAACTCCTTATCTACTACTCAGTACACATCAAGTAGAGTATGCCGTAATAAAAAGAAATAAATCACACAGGAGAC